AAAATAAGGAATTAATTAATGGCCCATTTTCGAAAATCTAGATTTACGCTATGATCGATAAGCTTTTCCATTATGCAATTATTCTAATTAAATATCATAATTCTAATTCAGAGTAAACTGTTAATAAGAAAGTAATTCTTTCAAGAGCATGAAACTATCGTTTTATTATTGTGAGAAAATATTATTTAAGCAATATGGGAAAAAATGCTTTTCATGAGGTGATAAAGTATGGATCTACTGCCATGAAAAATAAGAAATCTGTTTCCAGAGAGAAAAATTTCACCATTAATGTTTGCATGCTAAGCTTAATCTAACAAAATGTGAAAGAACTATAAAAAAATCGTTAAAAGTAAAATTGTCCTGCTTTTTAATTTTCAATACAGAAGCCGTACCATACTGTAACATCTCATAAAATTTTAACTTCACGAAACAAAATAAATGAAAGCTAATAAAGATGAAGATATTAAAACAGAATAGAAAAAATAGGAACATGACGCTTTATTATTTTGTTTAAATCATAAAATCATCAAATATGGCTACACTTAAAATTATTTTTTTAAAAAAACTTTATTCATAGAAAACTATAAATTCAAATTTACGGATTAAAGCAAAATATTAACAGCTAAAAATATAATTAAAGAATTAGCATTTATCATTCATTATTGTCACATTGTAGATTCAAAAATGCTCATCATATACCATATTTGATAATTCAGAAAAATAAATTTCAGTTTTACTTTCTTAAACAAGTAATAATAATAAAATATACTCATTGATTTAGTCATGACTCAACAATTTAAAGTTACACTAAAATTTAGTTTCGTTGGAAACATATTGATAGAAAAATGTTTTAAAATCGAAGATTTAGGCTGAAATAAGTCAACATTAAAATAAAGAAAGTACTTATAAAAAACATAAATTCAAAACATGTGTACTAGAAGCGACGATTAAAGTTAAAATAAAGGAAGCAATTAAAAAATTCCTGCACAGTTAAATCTAAACAAATGTTGCACTCTTTACAAACGCGTTGTCAGTACTTTCATGTACCATCATCTTCATGGCATATTGCAGATTACGAAATGTTCACCATCTTCTTGAGTTCCTAAACATTCTATTATTAAAGCGACGTTTCTGGACAGCTACTGATGGAATAAAATGCATTGCGTGAAGATGAAAACACTCTTCACCAAAGGGGCAAATTCCTTTACCGTTTTTGAAATATTTACAACGTTTTGTGCTCAAAGACTTTCTATAGTCAGCAATTAATATCTCCTTTTCCCCTTCGGAATGAACCCATTTCTTACTGGTTATGTAAAATCTAGACGGCACTCTACATTCGGGACAAGAACGAGTAACAGCAGGATCTATTAAATCTTCTTCATGAGAATTTCGCACTTTTCTCCACTTAATAATGCAGGATAAACAAATCACGTGATTGCAATTCTCGAGAATACCAAACTAACGGACTGCAACTCGATCTTTTTCCAGTACGATATCCAAACATATACCACATGACAAATCACGTCGAATATCCGTATCTCGCCCATGCCTACAGACTGCAATATGAAGACCTCGTTGCTTTTCGTCAAAAGGATCCAAGCAATATCTTTGACACAGTTCACATAACTCTCCGTGGATGCATGGGCAATCGTCGAATGGACAAGCACCATCAAAGAAATGCGGACAGAATTCCATATCCAGTTTAGCTGATGATTCAGAAGTCTGCTCATTTTGTGAGCTATCAACACTGTCATTTGATTTCGAAGAAGTGGCTAAATATTTGTTGTTTGCCGGCACGAATTCAGGTGCATTTGTCCATTCACGTAAATCTGATTCACGACAAAGAGATGCCTCACCATTTAAACTGGTGTTGAAATTTTGAAGACTTCTCGCGGCGGGAAAAATATCCAGACCCCTTGTCCGTTGATGGGTAGGACCAGTATTCTGCTCTTCATAACTAGATTGAGATATATAATGAGCATCCTCTTTAGCGTTTGGATGAGAATAC